CTTGGTTATAAGGATGCACTCTATCACGACTCACTGAGGCTTATTTCGTAACTAGTTAATTTTTAAAAGGATACACTCTATCACAATTCACTGAGGTTTAATTCGTAACTAGTTAATTTTTAAAATTTTAAAGAGTAATTTTAAGTAATTAAATTAAATAATATAACAAAATAAAATAAAAGATATAGATAAATATACATGGAAATTATTATTTATATAACATAAGTCAAATAATAATTACAAGTAAATATAAAAATAAATAAATTTTTTTTTAAAAAAAACATAGTGTTCATCTCAACTCTAAGTCCTGATTAATGGGGTAAAATTAACCATTCTTCCTTAAGTTTTTTCACTTGAAAGGGTTTGAACAGTTTATATATAAAAATAAAAATATTATTGGTGTTCAAGTAATAATTACAAGAAAATATAAAACCATAAGTCAAATAATAATTACAAGTAAATATAAAAATAAATAATTTTTTTTTTAAAAAAAAACATGGTGTTCATCTCAACTCTAAGTCCTGATTAATGGGGTAAAACCATTCATCCTTAAGTTTTTTCACTTGAAAGGGTTTTAACAGTTTATAAGCGCATGACAGAGTGAGGAATATTATACCAAGAGTATAAGAGTATACAAATCTTCATGAATAATTATTTAGGCTCAACAAAGAATAGTTTGGTTCAAAATAAATTATTTTAAATAATAGACATATAATACAAGAATCATATGTGCAAAATAATCATAACTACGGTACAGAACCGAACAGATGCTTAATGGATCCATCACAGACAGCGGGTGACAACGTGAGAGGACCAATGGTTATTTAAGTCCCCCAAAGGTATGGGACCGTCAGAGGGTCACTAAAGTGACAAATCAGAGGCCAATGGTTATTTAAATCTCTAAGGCATGGGACCTCCATAGTGGTACTTATAAAAATAAATGGTTATATACTCATTGTTAAATAAATTCTAAAATTTAAACAATCATAACCATGGATTTCAATTTTAAATAAACAGGCCTCATAAAATGAATAATATAATTGAATAATGAAATAATTTATGACTACTCAAAGTATAATATAACTTGATGAGGTGGTAATTCCAACAAAAGATGGGTCAGGCTGATCCACACTTCTAACAGCTTTGCTAGTCTTGAAGCCCATAGGAGGTGCCTGCAAAAAGGTCCAAAGGGGCAGGTAATCCCCAGGCGGACCCTTCGACAATTGAATTAGAATTAGATTGACTGTATAGAGAGAGAAAAGGGAATGCAGAACTTAACTTCTTATGTATTTCGTAAGCTGCTTATATCCTTTGCTCATCATTTCCTTGTCCATTCTAGACTGTCGTATTGGCCGAAGGTCTACATTCTAGCTTGCATCGTTCATGGTGTGTCTGTCTTCTCCGACGTAAAGAGGTTGTCGTATTTAATGCCATGAGAGCCTCATTAATGGCTGATGTGTAGGTGCAATAACTTTGCAAGATCTTTGTCTACCTACGTGGCTAGGCTTCTGTTTGGCAAGTGTTTGAATGTCGTTGGCCCGGGCCTAGTGTGGATTTATCAGAGTTGTTGGGCTTTGATCAGTGGGATATGAACTGAGCCCTGATCCGTGGGTTGGGCCATCTTGGATGCCTATTAGTATTAGTAGTGAACGCCCCAAATTTCTAACCCAAATGATATGACAACAATCATGACTCTTTCAAGGAAAGCAGAATATAAATCTCCAAACTTACATTATATAATACAATAGTTTTTCATGCAACAATACATTAATCCAACAACAAGTAAATAAACAAATAAGTACCCCCAAGGGTTTACAAGTTTCCAAGGCTTGAGTTTGGTTATACAAAATGGTTATTCAAACCCACACAAACACAGCCATTGGCTTACATATAGAGTCACAGCAAAATGAGAGCATTGTACTCCCAACACACATACTTCCACACCTCTAGTTGGGTGGGATCACCACATCTTTTCCTGTACAAAAATCTTGTAGGGTGAGCATAAAACCCAGTAGGAAATTATTAACAAAGTATATACATTTTATACAAGTCTCAAGAGATGAAATGCACATGCCATGCTATTCCCTTTTTAAAGATAAATCACATTTTCATCTTTTGAAAACCATCATGCTCAATGATATTATGCAATTTCAATTGTTCAAAACTTAACAATTTATTTCAAATGCGGTAAATACGACTCTGGTAATCCCTAAGTCGGTGTCTGCAAGTAAACTATACAAGTACTACCAAATTGTCATTTTTACCAGTATTAACCGGAAGGCTCGACACCTATCCACGTGGATTTTCAGTCTTTCATCCAAGACTCTCAGGCCAACTTATTCAATATCATCTACACCACCTATCAAGATTTCGCAATGTATTTACCCCAAAACCATTCCATGAAAACTTGTTTCTCAACATTATTTTCTCAATGCAAGTTTTCAAATCAACTTTCAAAGTTTAATGTAATCAAATGAATTGATGTGCCAATTTCACAAGATGAATATAAATACTTTTATTCTAATTCATCATCCAATGCCTAATTTCCAAAATGAACAAAAATTCTCATATTCCCTGAAATTCATCATTTATATAAATATAAATAAGAAAATTTCCAAACATCCATTTATTTTGACACACAAAATAAATATAACAATATCATTTATGAATTTTTAGTCTCCTTTTAAAAAAAAATTCCCAAATTCTAGATTTTCTCACCAAAACTATGCAACTCAAATCTTTGAAAGAAAACTTTCTAAAATCATCTTTTCTTCAATCAACGAAGATCAAAACCCATAAGATCATTTTAAAAGAACAAAAGACAAACCCACTTTCAAAATCGCTTAACTTCTCGAATTAATAATCAATTTTCAAAGCTATCGAAAGATGATTTCGAAAATCATATAGATCTTGCAAAAATATATATAACTCTAAGAAAATCTTTACCTCAAGTTTTGAAGAAGAAATGAGATGGAACCCCCAAAATCAACGGTGTCAAAACTCGATCTTCACCGCACACAACGAAACCCTAGAGAAGTTAACCAACTTTGATGAAGAACTTATGGCAGAACTCTAATGGATCTTGAGAAATCAAGGTTTTGATCCAATTTGACATAGGAAAATGTAGAGAGAGTGGAGAGTAAAGGGTTTTCAGAGAGAGAGATATACAAAAGTGATTTGAAATATCAGATTCATGAACTGATATAACATGGTCCGCTCGAGTGTGGAAAGCCCCGTTCGAGCGTCAAATACACTTTCCTAGTACTTTTGCAGACAGGTCAAACTTTTGGAACCAAACATTCTCCGCTCAAGCGAACAAGTAACTTCTAATGCATTTTGTATTTTTGCTTCGGGGGCACTGCCTCTCAACCCCACCAGGGCGCTACCCCCTGGACCCCCGCGAGTTAATCGGGCAACTTGATCCTCGCCAAAGGGCACTGCCCCCTGGACCCCCGCTAGCTGACCGGGCAGCTCGATCCCCGACATACTCAGCGAAGTGGCAAAACTAGGATCGCTACAAGTAGTCCCCCATTCTCGAATGCAGCTTTAGTCTAACGAAGGAAATAAAAGTGTGGAAGGGAGTCCCCCGAGGCTTGGTAGGGTTATGTGGGTTAGAGTGGTCGATCGTCAGGTTGGCCAACCGCAAAGGTGACTGATTGCGAGGGAAGACCGGCAGGCTGGCCGACCACGAAGTGGGCCGAGCTTGAGGGAAAACCATCAGGCTGGCTAACCGCGAGGTAAGCCAAGTGTGAGGGGAAACCGTCGGGGTGCCGACCATGAGGTGGGCCAAAAGTGAGGAAAAATTGTCGGACTGGCCGACCGTGGGGTGGGCCAAGCGTGAGAGGAGACCGTCAGGCTAGCAGACCGTAGGTTGGGCTAAGCGTGAGAGGAGACCGTCCGACCGGCCAATCGTGGATTGGGCTGAGCGTGAGAAGAGGACCGTCAGGTTGGCCAACTGTGATGGTAGGTAATCATGGCCCGCCCGAGCGTGAGGTGGGCCGATCGCAAAGGTGGATGATCGTGTTAAGATTGACGGCGTGCGGGGCTCGATGAGGGAAAAGACACGTGATGATGTGAAATGGAATAAACGGGGAAAAGGAAAGAGAATTAGTGAGCAACGAAGAGATCATGGCCGTACACGTGGCACAACAATGGCCGCTGATGAGAGAGACGAATGGGGTGTAGGAGGTGAGGGGATTGATAAGTTGGGATGTGGAAAATGCGGGGTTTGTATTTTTGTTTAAATTTTCAAACTGGCGAATTTTAACCGCGATCCTTGGAAAATAAGTAAACCCTGGGCTTTTGGACTTGTGCGTTTTACCTATCTTATTGCAAAAAACCAACACATTCCAGACTTAAGTTCCTTCATCACGAGAGATTCACCCATCTGGCATATCGCAAACTGTCTTGCCTCCGCAATCGAAGCAATAGTTAGAAACGTAAAGGAGATGACACAATACAAAGCGCTAGCCATATAAGCAAATGCATTAGGAGAGGAGGATGGAGTGGAGTTGGCAGAGCAGTATAGGGCGGAAAGGCGGGTGGAAAGAGGGTCGGAGCGGCCGGCACGGCCCTTGGGGTCGACAATGATCTCGGCGGTACAGCCGATTGGCCAAGTGGTGCCAGACCACTAGCATACGAAGGCGGACAAATCCATTCTAATGGAAGAGGATCTGGAGGAGTTATGTAGCAGATATCAGATTCCATTCAATATAGAGTTGAGGCTGTCGATGACGAATGAGAGGGCGTCGGATGCGCGACCGATGGACTTTGCATTGTATGAGAAGATGTTGCATGGGGGCCTAAGGTTGCCCCTCCCACAGCTAGTGGTGGACGCATTAAATCACCTGGAGGTGGCCCCAGGGCAGCTGATGCCAAACGCGTGGAAGATTCTGTTCGCCTGTGCAATTGCATGGCCGCCAGCGACCCGGGGGGGGGGAGGAGATGATGACGGTGGATGAGTTTTTCTCCATCTACAAGACATTAGGGCAATAGGAGACATGGGTGACTTTACAAGCCGTAGCAGGAAGGAGATTGGTGGCGAGACTCCCATCATCGGTGAAGGGCTGACAGCCAAAGTGGTTTTTGGTGTCGGCGAGCGGCAGAAGAGGGGCGCGTACAATTTGGAAAGTCTCTACCAAGTCTTAGGAGCCAAAGTTAGACTCTGAGGCGGAGAGGAGGGTCAAACAAGTGAAGGACTGGAGGGAGAGGGAGGGGCTAAAGTTCGACGACCTCGTCCAACTCTCAGCCTTGTTCGCCTTGAATTTGGGGCCGCAACTAATCAAAGGAGACTCGACGCCAGCGGAAATGGAGGCTATGAGGAAAGCTCAAGAGGAGGAGGAGGACAAACGTGCTTTTGCAAGGGCAAAAAAATATAAGGAGAAATAATTAGGCCCAGCGCCGAAACTGGTTATGAAGAGGTCGGTCAGACCACGCCCTAAGCCATTGGGAGAGAAAGACCTGACCAACTTTATGCCTTTGCGGACACTAGTTGATCCACTGAAGGAAAGAAGCAAGAAGGAGATGGAGGCGGTGTTGAAGAAGAAGAAAATGAAGGTGGCTGTAAAAGGAGGGGAGGGAGGACCGGTGGGAAAGAAGGTGAAAGAGGAGGTAGTGGAGTTGTCCCCAAGTCAGCAGGGGAGACCAGGGCTGATATAGGAGCGAAGAAAGGTGTGGCCAAGTTCCCAAGTGGCCAAGTGGTGGACGAATCGAGCGGGAAAAATGAGTTGGTAGAAACCGATCAGTCGGTCGATCTGCCCTCCAAAGACGTGCCCTTACAAGATGTGCCCCCAAGTTAAGAGTTAGGGAGAGAGCGGGCTGGTGGAGGAGAGATCAGCGCAGCGCTGAAGTCCGCCATGCATCACGTTTGCGCGGTGGTCGATTGCTTGGCGGGTGATGGGGGCGAAGCCAGGGTCGCTGTAGACCGTCTGTTGGGGATCGGTTAGGATGCGATCGTGCAAAGTATGGTCCAATTTACAGAGGTTGACCTCATGAGAGGGTTTTGTTCCGTGTAGATGGAAGAAGCGACCCTGGTGGCTGCCCTGCTGGGCAAGGCAGTGGGGGGGAAGATGGAGGTAGAGCCGCTAAAGGCCCAATTGGAAGGGGTGCGGGCGTAATTACAAAACTTAAGGGCGAAGATGACGGATTAGAGAAAGGTAGCGCGCAGCGTTCGCACGAAGGGTCTGGTCTATGCTCAGAGGGCGAAGAGGATGAAGGTTTTGGTGGTGGTGCAGTGATACTTGGCCGAGCACGCCAGGGTGAGCCAGGTTAGGGTCGCCTCCGAGTTGTTAGTCGCCAAATCTGCACTGGAAGTGGTTCGCCACAAGGTAGTATCACTAGAGTTAGAGCTGGCGTGCGAGCAGAAGAAAGTGGGCGAAGTCCAAGAAGCCTGCAACACCACCAAGGAAAGGTTGGAAGAGGCCCTCATAAATAGTGAAGAGCTGTGCGACCAAACCTTGAAAGTCAAAGAAGAAGCAGATGTACGCATTACGGAGTTGGAGAGGGCCTTAGGAGAGGAGAGGGCCAAGACGGCAGAGTTAACCAGGATAGCGACGTCTGAGAGGGCGGTCTATCTGGACCTGTGTGTTGCAGCGGTAGAGTAGTTTAAGGCGTCCCCTGAATTCCAAATGGCCATTGATGAAGCGATGGCGAGGGGCTTGGCCAGAGAAGGTGAAGTGGGTGCTGGCCAATCAGGAATAGCTGCTGCTGAGAGGACCGAAGAAGATATAATCCAAGGTTTTCAATAGTCAGACTACTACAAGCATGAAATGAGCCAGTACAGGGACAACAACTGGATGAGCTTCAAATATAGGGCGCATGAGCTGTTTCCAAATGTGGACTTTAGCCTGGTGAAGCCAGGAGAGGAAGACATCGCCCAGACTTCCCTGGATGAGGGGGTGGAAAAGGAAGACTTGGAGTCCAGCGAAGGGAAGTGAGGACTAGGCCTTTGGTTTGGTTTTGTTTTTTGGTTGTAGTTTTTTTTTTTTTAGAGAACTCCTTGTAAAGAATGGTTGAAATTTGTAAAGAACTTGTGGTTGTAATAAATTTGCTTGAAATTTGTAAAGAACGTGTGTTTATAATAAAGTTGCTTGAAATTTGTAAAAAACTTGCAATAATTTGTCTAGGGAGACCTATAAATGAATTAAGCGAAAAATGTGACTTATTTGCCAAAAATTTGTCAAAACGGCTTATTACGACAATTTGTAATAAAGTGAAGTTATAAAAACTGCTCAGATTGGTTGAGGTTTTGCTCAGATCAGTCTGGCTGAGGCTTGGATTAACTCACTCTAGCTGAGTTTTTCAGGCTCAGTCGGGCTGAGCTCATCAAGGCTCAGTCTGGTTGAGGCTATGTTTAACTCAGTTTGGCTGAGTTCTTCATGCTCAGTCTGGCTGAGTTCTTCATGCTCAGTCTGGCTGAGACTCTGGAGGGCTTAGTCTAGCTGAGGCTATGTTTAATTCAGTCTGGCTGAGTTCTTCATACTCAGTCTGGCTAAGGCTCTGGAGGGCTCAGTTTGGCTGAGGCTATGTTTAACTCAGTAAATTTTGTTTAATTTTGGATTAAGGCGTAACACAGATAATGAGAATCTTGAATTGTTGTCATAGTTTTGCAATCATAAACACATGCATGGCATGGCAAGAGCCAAAATGGATTGATCACCAAAATGAAACATACAACAATGTAAATCAAACAAAAAGCAAAGATTACTGCTTTACTGAAAATAGCGTTTCAAGTGTTCGGCATTCTATGGATGGGGAGGTCTCTGCCTTCCATGTCTTGGAGACGGTATATGCCTGGGTGGAACCTTGCTTTGACGATGTAAGGGCCTTCCCATTTAGCTACTAGCTTGCTCTCGGTTGGGTTTTTGGTGGCGAGAGTAGCTTTTCATAAGACGAGGTCTCCCATTGTGAACGCCCTCAGTCAGATTTTGCAATTATAGTGATTCCTTACTTTCTGTTGATATGAGGCCAGTCTGATGGCGACCGTTTCTCGCAATTCCTCGATAAGGTCTAGGTCGGCTCTCCAAAGGTCTTCGTTCAAGTTTGGATTGGGTTGGATGATTCTGGGCGTTGGTAGGCCGACTTCCACAGGGATGACCGCTTCGGCACCGTATGTTAGGCGAAATAGGGTCTCCCCAGTTGGAGTTCGGGAGGTCATCTGATAGGCTCAGAGGACGTTGGGCAATTCTTTTGGCTAGAGGCCCTTTGCGGCTGCCAACATAATCTTGATGATTTACAGCAAGGAGCGGTTGGTAACCTCCACCTGACCGTTGGCTTAAGGATAGCCTAGAGAGGAAAAATAGGTCTTGATATTAAATTCTACGCAGAATTTCCTGAATTTGGTGTTGTCGAATTGTTTGCCATTGTCGGAGATAATGGCTTAGGGAAGCCCAAAACAACACACAATGCACAGCCAGATGAACTTAGTAGTATTTTGCTCAGTAATCTTGGCGAGAGGTTTCGCTTCGACCCACTTGGTGAAGTAATCGATGGCCAAATCGGCAAACTTTACTTGACCCCTGCCGGTTGGCAAGGGACACACGAGATTGATTTCCCACTTAGTGAAGGGACAAGGGCTGCTGAGCATGATCAACTCCGTTGCAGGGGCGTGGGGGATGTTAGCGAAGTGCTGTATTTGTCGCATTTTATCACAAAATCAACGGTGTCCTGACTGAGTGTGGGCCAAAAGTAACCTATTCGGAGAATTTTATGAGCGAGAAATCGTCCCCCGGAGGGATTCTTACAAACTCCCTCATGTATTTCTCTCATTACATAAGTTGCTTGGTCATTATTGAGGCATATGAGATATGATCGTGAGAATCTCCTTTTATACAAGGTGCCACTGATAATGACATAATTCGACGATCGAGTCTTGACTTTAGCAGCTTCGAGTTTGTCTGCTGGGAGTGTTCCCTGCTTGAGGCATGCGATGATGTCATGGGTCCATAGGATGGGCTCCTCCTAGAGCAGGTGAATTGTTCATCGATCTGGTGAGACTGCTGGATGGGTCAGGTACTCAACCCGGACGCCACGGTAAAGGTCTGATTGGTCGACTAAAGCTAACTGTGTCATTTCGTCTGCTTGGGAGTTTTCTGACCTGGGGACATGTTGGATACGAAAACTATCAAAGAGGTGGGTCAGAGGAAGAGCAATGTCTCCGTATGATCGCATGGCTTCTTCCTTGGCATCAAACTCGCCCGTTATCTGGCCAACTACCAACCGAGAGTTGCTAAATACTTGGAGATAGTCGACTCCGAAATCTTTAGCCAGTCGGAGGCTTACTATGAGAGCTTCATATTCGGCCTGGTTGTTACTTGCTACAAATAGGAATTGGAGGGCGCATTTGAAGTATTCTTCTTCTGGGTGGTAAGGATTAAACCGGCTCCACTACCCTCTTTGTGGGATGAACTGCTAACACAAAGAGTCCAAGAATGGGGGTCTTCCTCCTCAATAGGGTCGGGAGCTGGTGGAGGGGAAGCGTGCGGGGTAAGATTTGTGAATTCCAAGATAAAGTTGGCGACAGCCTGGCCTTTGATGGCTGTTCGTGGTTGGTAAGAGATATCGTACTGACGTAGTTCAATAGATCATTGCATGAGCCTACCTGATGATTCTGGTTGTTACATGATCTTTTTCAAAGGTTGGTCGGTGAGAATCACTATAGAATGAGCTTGGAAATAGGGTCAGAGGCGTCTGGAGGCGATGACCAGGGCGAAAGCCATTTTTTCTAATAGAGAGTAGTTCTGTTCGGCTCCCCTGAGTGCGTGACTAATGTAATAAATCAGGCGTTGTACTGATTCGTCTTCCCTGATGAGGGCAACACTGACAGCGATGTAAAACACAACTAAATAGAGGAAGAGCATTTCGCTTGGAAGTGCTTGAAAGAGAAGAGGGGGGTTGGCCATGCACTGTTTGAGTTGCTGGAAGGCTTTCTCAGACTCAGTGTTCCATTCGAAAGCCTGCCGGAGGACTTTGAAGAATGAAAGGCATTTGTCAGTCGCTTACGAGATGAAACAGTTAAGGGCGGCAACTCTACCTGTAAGCCGTTGAACCTCTTTGATTGTCTTGAAAGAACGCATTTCTATCAGGGCCTTGATCTTTTCTCGGCTGGCCTCAATGCCTCTTTGGTTAACCATGAACCCCAAAAACTTACCAAATCCAACGTCGAAGGCGCACTTTTTCGGATTCAATTTCATCTAGTACTTGCGCAAGGTTTAGAAACTCTCGCGCAGGTCTGCCAAATGGTCAAAGGAGAGTTTGCTCTTGACGAGCATGTCGTCGACGGAGACTTCCATGTTCCGACCTATCTGGTATTGAAAGACGACGTTAACCAGGCATTGGTAAGTGGCTCTAGCAGTCTTCAAACCGAACGGCATGACACGGTAGTGATAAGGCCCCCTGCCAGTGATGAAAGAAGTGTGCTCCTGGTCAGCTGCATGCATTAAGATCTGATTATAGCCGGAAAAAGCATCCATGAAACTAAACATCTGATGTCTTGTAATTACGTCGACTAATTGATCTATCCGGAGAAGGGAGTAGCTGCCTGTAGACGTCCTCGAACGTCCCGGGAGGAAAATCCCCCCCGTTTTGTTCATTTGCGCTCACTACAGTTCAGGACTCAATGTCACGGTCCTGTATCTAATCTCGCAGAGTACAATGTAAGACCGATGAATCATCAAAGAGTCCAAATCCGGCAAATCATTTTTTGAAAACAGATTTTTTTTTAAAGAAGTGCCAAACATGGACTGTTTTGCCAGATACAGAGTCGCCACCTAAATATTTATTTTGGGGGAATTTAGGAAACCCTGACTTGTTGCCTAAGGCCACATGTCCGTCATCATCAAAGTTGCCTCGACTTGGGAACTTAGGTATGATTGGGGAAGGTCACTTCGTGAGCACCCCCGCTCGCCCGATCAAAGATCGGCCTCTACTAACCATGATATCTAGTTTTGAAAATATTATGCGTTCTTAATCCGATTATTAGCCTAGATTACTATGTGATGCGCACAACATACAAGTATAGACTGGGTCGCCTGAATTGGAACAAAGTATCTCATGTTTGTTTTGAAAATGGTTTGATGGTGCTACCCACAAGTAGGCTAAGACGTGGATTTGCCACCCTCAGGTGGGCTTAGAAAACAAGATGATTTGCCACTATCTAGTGGGCTTAAAACTCGCATTTAATGAATTGTTCCAATTCGGATAACCCAACCTTCACCCACAGGCATTTAGACAGGTATATCATATAAGCACATAGCCTCATGGTAAGCATGCTAT